TTTTGCCAAAAGTTATTTGCGCAGGTCCCAAGCATGGGGTTCTACTTTTATAGGGGGGGTTCTACTTTTGACTTGGGGGTTCCAACTCACAAATCCAAAAAGGGGGTTCTAAAAGTAGATCCTCCCGGGGGTCTGGGATCATCGTGGACGCAGAGGACGGCGGCATCATACATCGCAAACGACTGTGGTGGTTGTGGGTGGAATGGGGCAAAGTCAAACCACAGTTGGTGGCCAACACCCCATGGGATCTCCATTGGACACAGACAGACACACCATGGCCCCGCCTTCACAACCCCATTGCGAAAACTCTGCAACCACCACTTGACACCAAGCACTTCACAGCACCCTCGATCATACAGAAAGGAGGCCTGTTCCATTGTTTGACCACACCGGCGCCAGACGAACATGGTAGACCAGCACCCCAACATTGCAACGAGAAACATGACACGATCCAAAGGTGGCAAGCAGATCACCAACGATTCGCGCCGTGGCAATACCAACATAAGTACCTGGTGTCCGATGCAGACGGACACAAACACCTGGCACCAGCCAACATGAGGGAACAGCTGATGGGTTTCAATGGACAACACACAGCCAACATGACACCAGACAAGACCGAGTACCACCGGAACAAGGCATTGGGCAACACATGGCACATCCCATCGGCCATCTGGCTCCTGCTATTGATGGTGATGGACACCATACACACACCCACCACAGCCATTCCCATCTCACCCATACAGAGAGCCACGAGCGTCTGGTTGGCCACGAACACCACGTTCGGACCACCGCCGAAGCCAACACACAATCTCTATATGCCACAATTCTGCTGGCGGGAACACATACAGTGGACACAATCACTGGACACATCCCACACACCAAAGCCCCTCGACCCGACACTGGAATGGGTCACACAGCATTCACATTTGTTCCACCCTGTGGCAGATTTCTGAGAACAAGTGGTACTCGAGATTCGCCGTTTGGTCGAGGACATGCAAGAGTTGACTGACGATTGGCTCCGCGATCTTCCACAACACGTACAAAAAACATACACCACGAGGAAGCAGGTCACACAAGTGCCAGTGTTCACCCGCCTATTACGACAAATTAATTACCCACAAGCCGACATACTACATCAGGAACTCTCTTCAGGATTTCGTCTCATGGGACACCTTCAGCCAGGAACCAATTGGTACATCCGATCGGACAACAAGTACCTCATGCCAAAGACGCAGGAAGAATTCGCGGAGCACAACGACCACTACGTCCGGCGGAAACTACAACAAGCCAGAGTCGACGACCATTATGAGTTGATGCTTGAAGAGATCGTACAGGAGGTCAAGACGGGGAGGATGAACGGCCCATTCACAGCACCACCACATTGGGAACACCAGACAATAACCCCGAGCAAGTACCCGGAACTCCGGCTGCTACCAATACCACACTCCACACCAGCAATAGCTCTAGCATTCAGCATACAACAAACCGGATCCGACGGAAAAGAGAAGATCCGAAGAGGCGAGGCGAAGCGGACACAACGCAACATGCATTATGCACGACCAACCTTACCATCACACACCAGATCACTTCGCAGCCCTTGCCATCCGATCACACCAACACAACCCTGACCAGCTCTTACATGTGTGGGGACACGACCACGATGGGGCCTACAGACAACTCCCTCTTGACCAACCGGAACAGGCCTATGTCCTGCTCCACACACTGGAAGGGCCCACCCTTTGGAGCCACAACGTCCTCCTCTTCGGATCCTCAGCCAGCGTCTGGGGATACAACAGATTCGGCGACGCCATGGTGTCGGTGTCGAGGCTGATCCTTCTTTGCCCAACCATGCACTACGTCGACGACTATGGTAGCACCGAGGCATCACACCAAGCAGACTCGGGTTTTCGCTCCTTCGAGGACTTCAACGGGGCCCTGGGCTACAACATGAAGACCAGCAAGAGGCAGCCACCAGCATCCAGCCACAAGATCCAAGGGGTGATCATCAGCACAGACACAAACCACATCACACTGACCCCTTGCCCACAACGTGTCGAGCGCATGTGCACGGACATCACAGCATGCCTCCAGAGCAACACCCTCGAACCGGACCAGGCCCGCAGAATGGCAGGCAAGTGCAGCTTTCTCACAGGCCGCCTGTTTGGCAAAGTCGGGAGGGCTCCGCTCAAGGCCATCTACTCCAGAGCACATAGCAACATATCTCACCTTGACAAACCCACCAGGTCCGCATTACATGCCCTCCTAGACATCATCCGACATTGCAGACCCATGCGGATACCCCTGCAGATACAACACCGACATTTCACCATCATCTATACCGACGCCTACTACATCGCAGGAGGAACCAAACTACGACCTGGAGACGAGGTTCCGGATGGGTGGCAACCAGCCGACTACACATCGGTCGAGAATGGGTGGGGCGCCGTGATCTTCCCACCAGGAAAGACAGATCGAGCCTGGTATTTCCAAGGCAGACTTCCCCAAGAAATCCTTAAACAGTTCAGCTCCAACACTGCCTTTATTTACCTCCTCGAAGCTTGGGTCGCCATCATTGCACCGATAGTATGTGAACCCATCTTGGGCGACTTCTACATCCAATGTTGCGACAACGAGGCAGCGCGCCATGCCCTCATTAAAGGAGTAGGGAAACACCAACCCCTAAAGTGTTTAATCAGTGCCCATTGGACATGGCACAACAGACGGGGCATCGCTCATCGAATCGAGCGTGTTCCGACAAAAGCTAACCTGTCGGACCCCATCAGCAGGTTTGAAGACCTGCCAAGAGGACTGTTATGGTCCCACATCATAATACCCCAAGGGGCGATCACCAAAAGATGCCTCAAGGTCATCGGTGACATCTAGCTAGCATCTTGTCTTGGCTTTGAAAACATCCCTGAACTTGAACAGGTGAAAGCCTTGTTCAAATTTTAAACACCTGGTGTCCTTAACTACGACGGGAAATCGTACACCAGCGACGGGAATGTACAATTTCAGATCCGTCTCCGTAATACGAGACGTAAAGTACATTAGTAGGACACCAATGAATGCACCACAGGTGCATCCGAAATTTTGACGGGGAATTTCAGCCACCGAAGTTGACATGGCTGGAAAAGGTGCGTTGCCCGTCATGAGAGTTTGCGTAATTGCTACCGGTTAGTTGTTACGTGTTTGTGCGGTTTAGAATTGTCTTAGAGCGACCAATTGGAGTTGCTTGTCATGATTGCTGGCCTCAGTTCTCCAGCCTTGCTGCTTCTTGCCAATCATTCAATCTGGCACCCTTGCCATCCAGGCTGCGCGACGGGCAGTCCCCGCACCTCGTCGAGAAGCACACGGCCGTTACTTGCTGGCGTTGAATGATTGAGGGATGTCCTGAAAGCTTGAGTCCTTGTGAGTCCGTGTCAGTTCCTTCGTTGAGGAGATTGCGAGTGGCATTTCGCGGTATCTGGAAGGAAGCTGTTTGGCCTGGGCGGCTATGGAGCGAAGGCGCACGGAACTCCTTTGGAGGCTTTCCAAACGAGTGAACGAGGAGCGCGGTCGCCTGGACATTCGCGACGGCCATCTGTTAGATCCTCGGAATCGCGACCCCAATTTCTTGGCTACGGCTGAGCTCGAGACAAATAGCTGGTTCCAGCAAATGCTCAAAACGTCTGCAGCCTGGAAAGTAAAGTTTGGGGACCTGGAAGTGCTTCACGTTGATGTGCATGGGTGTCAAGATCCGCCGAACACCCCTTCGCACCTTACGATAGGACTAGGTGCCATGTGCTTTCATGCCATCGACCAGGGCGACACTGACTCCTACCAGGACGCAATGCGCTTTGGCCATGCCCTCTGCCGCGAGCTCAGCGACATTCTGGCAAAGGCTCAAGGACTTCGGCCACGGGCCGCTCTGGTGCGCCTGGCAGCTCCAGGCCGGGACTTTGGGGATTCGTATCTTGACATCCGTATCACCAGTTCCGTGCGAGAATTTAGGACCAGAGGATGAGCACTGCCCTCGCTTCTCTGGGGCCTGGCGTGGAGGTCGGCATACGCAGTCCCAGCAGGCGATCATTGCAGGCTTCACTCACGCGGTGCAGCTGGAGCTGTCCAAGGCGCTGCGGGCCATTCTGGCCTCCGACGAAACACTGCTGAAGGGCTTTGCAGCTGCCATCAGGGCAGCCTGGGTACAAGCAAAAGCTGCAGAAGTTCAGTCCAAGCGCTTGCGTCGAACGCAGCTCACCCAGCTCACGCCAAGATCAAGGAGTCTGCTGTGAAAAAACGGAGGGCAGCATCATGTGGCCGGCCTCGAAAACTTTGAGAGAAGTGTACATCTTCGCCATCTGCGGATATCAGCAGCATTCTGCAGCTATATGTGGCTCACAGCATCCTTGGACAGGATGGGACGGTGTGCGAGCCTAAACTATGGGTAATGCTGCTTGACTGCAAGCAGTTAGCTGCAAGCTTATTTGCAAAACGGCTGCACATTTATCCCTTTGGACCAAGGCTGCGGCTGCATGTTGCTGTGCTGCCAAAGACGAGGGCGTGGAGGTCACCGCGTATGCAATTGGTGCCACAGATGGCCCGCTACTGGCCAGCACATCAGCGCATTGCCAGCGCGGCCTTTTTTTGCCTACGGATCTTAGAACGTTGTTCATATTGTTTCCTCTGCTCAGGTTGAATGACGCCGCTTGGCTGCGACTCATGTTTGCATATCTGATAGGGCGCGACATCAAATGTTTTGCCTCAGGAGCGTTTCCAGGGATCCAAGCAGAAGCAGTATGTGATCTGCATACGGAAGAAGGAGCAACTCGATCAGCTTGGCATGGATGTCAAGCACAGATTGCTACTTGACTTTCATATGAAGCGTCGGGGCTTGCCTATGTTGCAAGCGGGCCAGGAACAATACTAAACAGAGGTCGTTGGTTTGCAGAGGCGCGCATGTAAGGGGCCGTCTAGTTGTCGTGGCGATCCGCCGCGGTGGGGCTGTGGACCGCGCGAATCTGGTGGCTGCGCGGCTCTGTTGCAAAGGGGACCGTGGTCTTTCAAAGAGCTGAGTTTAAGACTCTGAGCCAAGGCAGCATGGACTACAGCCGATTCAGGCTGATGGAAGCCAGAGTTCAGAGCCCAAGGCACAGTGACCAGTGCACAGACAGGTCAACGATGTCATCGTGGACATAAATGGCGCCACCTTGGAGCCTTCCTTTCGGAAGTTGAACTTGTAATTCTTCTTCTTGCAAAGGCAGCGAATTGTGAACTATTATGAACTCAACCCTGACATGCCCAGGACACGGGAATGGTCGCTGAGTGCAAGTCTTCCCTGGTGCTAAACGTCAAGTTCTTGAGAAGAGAGCATTTTAGGCTGGGGTGCATGGGCATTAGTGACAGGCAGCTTGATTTTGATGTTCCCTGAGATGCAGTCCTTTCAGGTGAGATGCCTGCGCAAATTCGCTGGTTGAGCGGCTGCAGTTTACAGACGTAGACCCACATGGGCCAGGTCCGTCGCAGAGGGCTTGTTGGTTGCCAAAACGGCCCAGCTGAGAGTCTATTTCTGTGAAAGCCCCATAGTCCAAAGTGCATGGGTGGCTGCAAAACCTCAGTTGTTTCACTCGACTCGCTCTGTGGTTGACAAGCAGCATGAAAATGCGAAGCTAGAGGACGTTGCCGAGCGCCACGGTAGCCAGCATCCTGTGACATGCGTCGAGAGCAGGCGTCATGAGCATCAGCCGGGTTGAGAATTGGGGAAACCCTTGAGGAGAACGCCCCGGTAGCAGCCAGCATCATGCTTGAGTTTCAGATGTTTCAGCAGAGGGGTACCCCAGAAGCAGAACATGGTGCGTCGAAGCACGCCTTCGTCGGGATAGTCGTACGCCAATGTCATAGGCCTGGCCCAGACAAAAGCCCAGCAGCGCACTTGGAATCCTCAATTCTTCTGCAAAGTGAAGTTTCAAAGCTTGGTGGCATGGTGCGGGATTTAGCTGTCGTGCCCAACCACGACCATACAAAGTTGTTGTCAAGGCCGAAAACAGCCGCCAGAGGTCGTCGGTCTAACCTTCTCTCACAATTTGCAAGTCCCTTTCCCTGCTTTGTCTTTCTCTCCCTCTCTCCCCCTCTCTCGCCCCCGAGCTCCATGTCTTTCTCTGTCTCTCTTCCGCTGGTATCTCTCTCTGCTTCTATCTTTCCCTCTCACTCTCCCTCTCCCCCTGCTCTCTCACACACACTCTCCCTTTAGCGCTGTCTGTCTAGCTGTCCCTCTCCCTCTCTCTCTCTCTCTCTCTCTCTGTGTCTCTCCCTGTCTCTCTGTCTCTCTGTCTCTCTCTCCCTCCCCGCCTCCTCTCTTTCCTTGCTCTCCCCGCCCCTTCTTGAGCCCAGTGCTCTCCCTGCTCAGACACAATTCCAGTTGTGTTTCGAGAGTGTCTTCCTGCTGAAGTAGGCTCTCCTGTCTAGCAGTGTGCACGCACGCATGGATTGCCATGCTGCTGTCAGGAAAAGAGCCTTTTAAGAGGCCTCAGCTAAATGGTCCCCCGGCACAAAGCAGCAACGAGGAGTGTCAAGCTTCAGGTAACGAGCCTAGGAGTAAGGAACAAGACACCACACGATCAGATTTGGAGAAAGTAGCGCAGCTTTCCGAAAGCACTCATGGACGACCTCAGCTTCCTGGAAGGCATCCTAAGCACGAAGAAGACGCAGGCCAGGCAGCAGGAGAGGTTTGTACAGGTTTCCGACTGCTGCCAATTGATTCTAGCAACCTGTTTGAGCAACCAAAGCCAGCTTGGACTCCATTCGATTGTTGTTGTTGTCGTGGTGCTGGTGGTGGCGGCGGCTGTGGTTGTTGCTGCTGCTGCTGCCGCTTGCAGCCTACCACCTTTGGTGGATGAGATGTTCCAGAACCAAGCTGTTGTAGATGCGCACCATGCAGCTGTTCGTCTTCCCTGGGAGCTCTAATGAGTCTAGTGTCGAGGTCTAGGTTGCCTTGGTAGCTCATTTTTAGGAGCCGTCTTGCAAACAAGCTTTTCGATGGCTGTTGGTCCACGCGTCTGCACTACAGAATTTGGGTTAATCAGAAGGCGTTAGCACAAGTAACATCGGGTGTTCATGTTTCGAGTAGTATGAAATGGAACAGTCTCAGCAGGGACAGTTTGCATTCAGCGGAGAACTGCTCACGATGCGGTCGCCAATGCAACGGGCATTCCCTCAAACTGCAAACCCGCAGCCTGTGAAGCATCCTGCTGAAGTCCTCTCCTTGGCAACAGAACTGCGGACTTGCATTCTCACCAGTGGGCTTAAGTAATTGGCTACTCAGTCTGGTTACAGTGCAGGATCCAGGTGAGGAGGATCCGTTGGTGCTGGCAATCGCGCGGAAGACGGAGGCCCAGAAGCAACGCCAGGACGGCAAATGGGATCACCCCGCATCAGCTGTCAGAGCATGAAACCACAGAAGCATGCAGCTCCTGCCGACACATGAGATGACATATTAACCCGGAGAGGTTGGAGGGAGATGGAGGGAGTTCATGATGAAACGCGGGCTGCTCTTGCCCTAACGGTGCAAACCACGCAGTGTCGGCCCTGTGTGCAGGAAGCCTCGCAGGCTCGCTGGGCCGCCTGTCAAGACCACAAGGTTTGGCTAGCCGAGTCCCTTGGCTTTGAAATTGGGAGATGCCGATCCCTGCAAGAATCACTTGGAAGAGTGCTTCCGAGGAAAAACTGGAGAAAGGAAGTCCGCAGGAAGAAGGAGACAAGCCCTGCCGTGTATTGCAATGCGCGCTCAGTGAATGTGGAGTTAGTTTTCATCTGATTATGGCCTCTCTTTTGGAAGTCCTCAGTTTATTTTCGGGTCCCTACAGTGGACCCATAGTTTTAGGAAGTCCTACACAGGATTCTTCGAAATTGCGCCTGAATCTTCCTAGCACAGACCCCATAATCCCTTTGGTATTCCACACACACCCATTGGATCCATTTGGTAGTTTCCATAAAAAGCGGGACCAAAATGGACCCCAAAGTACTATACTCCTTGTTATGCGGGCCCCAAGAAAAGTACACCTAGTTTTGAGAAATTCCCATTTGATCAGGAGGAGGAGCGGAGGCGCCTCGCTCAGGAAGCAGCCGTTGAAGAGGCTCGGCGGGCGGCCGCGGCACGGCCTGCTGCACCCCAGCAGATCCAGGGTTGAGGGGTTTAAGGTTTAGGAGTTTAGGGGTTTTGGGTTGAGGGGTTTAGGGGTTAAGGGTTGAGGGGTTAAGGCTTAGGGGTTTCCACCTGTCATTTTTCCGAAATAGGTACAGGATCTACCCAACTCACGTTGCTGTGGAGTAGTGTAGGCAGAGTCCAGGATGAGTACTTCCTTCAAGGATTCTGTTGCCCGCTAAGCCTGCTTCTGTCAAGGGTGCTGTAAGGGATCATATAGGGGAGTATTGTAGGAGTTGTTAAGGGGAATACTCGGAGTTTAGATTATATGATAGCTCTTATAAGACAGGCCAAGCCGTCGCATGGTGTCTGGCGATGGGAGAGCTCAACTTTCATATGGGCAACTTCTAACTTGAAAGTCCATTCCGTATGTGTGTACATATATACATATACACGTATATACAAGCCAAAGCAATGAGTTTTTGAGCCTGTAGTGCGTACGGGTTTATGTATACATATACATACGCACACACACATATACATATATACATGTAGAGGAGAGTATGCCGCACAATGGCTGATGCATTTGGAGATACAGAATTCCCACTGTAAGCAGATGCTCAGATTGTCCTTGTCGAGAATTTCTGGTCTGGCAGAAGCCAAGCTGATGCTTGAATATCTTGGGATCACTTGCTGGCTCAGGAAATTCCAGCTGCTGTCCGAGCGGAAGAAGAAGCTAGAGACAAAGTGAGGGTGGCTTTGCAAGAAGCGCAAGAGCGCTGGTTGGAGACAGAGTGGCAGCCACAACTTATGAAGCGGAAGCAAGAGGCCAGGTCAATTCGGATGGAAGCAGAAGAGGCCGCAAGGCGCAAGCAAATCTCTGAAGCAGAGCGTGTGCGCTACGAGCATGGGCGCATGGAGGCGGAGGATGATGCCGTGAGGGCCTTTGAGAACACCAGCGAACGGGAGTGCCAGCGCTTAAGTGCCCGAGCTCAGACACCTCGTGTTGCTGCATCCATCGCCCGCTCCATAGAGATGGTCCTGGAAATGCGAGGGTTGGAGATTCGCTGGAAGCAGAGCTTGGAGGAGCGACGCTTGGCAGAGCAAGAGGCCCTGCTCCATTTGATGGAGGAGCGGAAGGAGCGCGACTACCGAGAGTGGCGTGTCTTGGTTCACGAGGAGCGCCTGCGACGCCTGCGTGTGCAGAACCGCGAGGCGCATCGGGAGGCCTCGCTGAGGGAGTGGAAGCGCCTGGAGCTCCTTGGCCGCGATGCCCTCAGAGAGGACAGCAGAGTCATGTCAGGGGCAGAGCATGTGTGTGAATCTTCATGGGCAAGTGCACACGAGCCTTCTGCACACCCCCATGACAGCAAAAATTCGGTTTGCGGGCGAGGAAGAGCTCAAGCAGTCTGCGGCTTTGGAAGCTGCCCTTGTAAAGAGCGACTGGCAGTTTCTTGGCTGACAGGGGACTAACTGCATCCTGCTTTTGCTGTCTATGATGTGATGCGAGCTCTCCGAAAACTCACAGCAAGTGGCAAGCTATGGCTGAGTGTTTGCTCTTTCTGCAGATTGCCGAATTCAGGCAACACAATTCCAAGGAAAGTTTTCGAAACATATTTGCCATGCATTGCCATGCCATAGTTGTTTGTTGATTGCCTGGCAAGGAAAAAGCGGCTGCAGGAGCAGGGCATATCTCCTCACAGGGTTCTTGAAGAAGCGAAGCTGCTCGCTGAGAAGCAGCGGAAGACGCTGGAGGAAGTGGGGCCAAAGCAAGCTGAACAGGAGCTCTGCCCGGGCTTTTGCTTGTGGCGTATGCTCTGATGTACATCTTTCAGGAGCTGTGGGAGGCCTTGCTCACCAAGAACCGCTTGGCCAGAGCTCAAAAGGAGCATACAGGTGCCGCAGGGCCTGAAAGCGAAGGTCGCTGGGGCTTCTTTGCCGATCTATGAGGGCAAATCACAAGGCAGACGGCAAGACGCCGGCCTTGCAGTGTTCGCCTCAGGCGACGCTTTGTTTCACTGTGCTGCCATGGAAGGGCAACAGTTTTTTCTGCTTGCTGTGTAAATGCGCGCCGCATGCCATTGCAGACTGCGACGCCTGCTCCCGTGATCGGTTGAGTGCATCAGCATGAGATAGCTTCAGTCGCATTACGTGCAGCTCGCATTGGCTCGCTAGCTCCAACAGAGCATCTCGAAAGCGGATCACGCGAGGACGCTTAAGATTTGCTGTGTGAGATGTTGCAGCCACAGCAGACTACAGCTGCAGGACCACCATGGGTTGCGCAAGCAGCCGCGAGGGAAGTTCCACGCAAGCAGATATGGCAAATTCAGGTCCTCCTTTCAATTGCTTGAGAGGGAGCTGCTTTGCGCATTCTAAGCAAGAGCCGTCAAATGCGGGACTGAGATTTGGCCAGCGCACAGGTTCAGTCAAGACCCTTCATGCAGAAATCGGCCACAGCTTTGCAGAAACTCTGGCGGTCTTGCAAAAAGAGAAAAGCTGCCAGGACACAGGGCATGCTGGGCATGCAGGGCATGGCTGTGCTGTAGCTTCAGCTTCGCCGCTTAAGCCTGCATGGCCTTGCTCTGCGGTCGCCCTTCGCAGGAAACCTTCAAGGCCGTGGAGGAGTTCCAGGCGACCTCTAAGGTTTCATGGCCATGGCGCCTCTTTTTACCATGTTCTTCCTTGACTTGCTTTGGCAAGTGAAGGACCCTCGTCTCAGCTTCAAGTCCATGGACCGTGGAAGCGATGGTCACGGACTTCCAGCATTGAAGACGCATAGTGGCTACGTGGAAGAGTCTCTTGACTGTCTGGGAGCGTGCAAGCCAAGCCGACGTGCTGTCTTGGCCGCGCTTTGGCCAAGCTCAGGTTGGAAAAGACCCTGAAGAACATCGGCTCTGCCCCAGATGACTTAGAAAAGCAGGTCTGTTGCCGCAGAGCTCGAATGGCAATGCTTGCGTAAAAGAGCGGCGCCCGGAGGGCACACTCAGTTCAGGTGGCAAAGCCACAATGGACTCCGAAGAATGTCTTAAAGTGATTGTCCGTCCTAACCAGAGCCATGGCCGCCATACCAAGCCGTGAGCCCTGGCTTGCCGAAAACTGGGGACCACCGGACTTCCTGCAAGCAACATTGTGGAGTTTTATGATGACGTGACATGAACTTATAAAGCCTTTGATTGCCGGTCTTGTGGGCCCCAACCCTTGAAGGGTGCTACACGTCGTGGGCAGTCCCAAAGTCCCCTTAAACTTATTCTCCAACTTTTTTGTTTGCGCCTGGGCTTGAAAGAGCAGCGCTTTTCCATGCAGTGGGGCGGCAGAGTTTTCATCGATTTGAGTTTTTCTGGTCCTACAGGTTCACAGACCTTGCACTCACTAAAGGCTGTGCCGCTGCCGAAGCGTTCATTCTCGTAGTTCGCAACATTGCAGGTGGTAGCACCGCATGAGACCAACTTGACCACAATCGTTGGGTACAGGCTCCTGTGGTATTCGCGCATCTTGCACGGTCTCATATTTCACGCAGGGCGCGCATGCCGACAAACCTCTTGTTAAGCAGTCATCTCTTTAGCTTCGGGTAGCACTTGGGCCCCCTGGCTGTAGAGCTCAGGACGTTCTGGTTGAAACAAGAGTTGGCATGATTCCCGCAAGTCAGAAGCATGCATCGAGCGGCCGTCCTCCGGCAGCATCCTGACCAGGCAGAAGGGATGGCGGGATCTTATTCATGGACGAGGCTGTTAGCATCTACTGTATCAGGATACAACCCGAGACGGCCACAGAGGAATGGAAGACTATAGTGACAGTCATATACGCACTTCAAGTGGCTGTATCTAGTAATTTAGTACATTTCGAAAACTTTTGGTATTTCCTCTGGCGTTTCGAGATTTCCGACATGGAATGTATATGCTGGTTCCTACGCAGGAAAAACAATGTGATAGTTGGAAAACTTATGTTCAGATCAAATTTATTCGTTCCATAAATAGATATTGGACGATAAGATTTGCTGTCTCCATTGAGATATCCTTCCGAATCAAGGTTTTTACGTTTTCTTTGAAAATCTGGAAATGAATTCAATAGATTAGTATTTGTTATTGTCTTTTGATAACTTTCAATTTGCAATTTGACCGTTCGTATCTACATCATCTCTTTCCGATAATATCTCGGAGATATATTAGAGAAAAATATGAGAAATTTCTTATTAGAGGTCAAAAGTCTTATTCTTTATGACGTAAAAGACCTTTGGATTTGCAATATGGAAAATTCTGAAGAAGAGATGCGGGGCGGATCTCGTTTTGATGTTGATAGGTTATATATTTATTTATTTCTCATGATTCTATTTGTTTTACGGTTTTTAGGTTAATTGATGATATTCGTCTAAAATCGTCTAAATATTTTGGATTCTAGGGATTCGTCGATTTCGAAGCTTCTTCAAATATTTGAGGATTATTAAGCCTCTATCTTCTATTACAGTAATTTTGAAGTTGTATTTGGGCAATCTCTATTTATTGATTTCTCTTTATTTTTGATTGTATTTTCTAATTTCTGTTTGTAATTATTTTTCGAAATATTTTGTATTAGTTTTATTTGCTTATATCGAGCTCTCTATCTGTATTCATTTATCTCTATCTATATATTTCTTTATTTGGTTATTTATGTATTATCTTTATTTATATATTCATCAATCTGTAAATTATTTATGCTATTTTTACTTATTTTCCATTTTTTTAATTCATTACTTATACGTTTATTTTCAATCTAGGAAAATATTTTCTATTTATCTGTCGTTCATTATCTGGCTCTATCTATTTCTATTTATTCTCTATTTCTTCTACATTTTTTTACTTCGTTTACTAGCTATGATTAATTTTTCTTTCTATTTGCTTGTATTTGTTTGCTTTTTCTATCGTGATTGATTTCGATATTTTATTCATGTATATTCTTGTATATGTCTCTTTTTTTTGTATTTATCGATTTTTAACTATCTCGATCCATTATCGTGAAATTCTATTTGATTTATTTTCATTTTTTTTGATGATTTATTGGTTATTTCTTAGATTTTAATGAGACGGACTTATTGGCAAAATTTTTTTTCTATTCATGTATATTTTTCTATCTTTATTGTTAGTTCTATGTATTTCTATTTCTCGATTTATTTCTTATCTATCTTTTTTCTTAATATCTGTTTTCTATTTATTTCTAGATCTATTTTCTCTATAAAACGACGCGGGCATCTTCCGTAATCGGCTTTGCGCGCAGACCCTACTCCGAACGAAATCTTGAAAATCTCGAGATTTGGATTCCAAGGCATCCCCGCAATCCTTTACCTCTTATTGTTCTCTCCGAGCCTAGACGAAACTAGTAAATTCTCGTGATTTTGAGGGTAGCGTCCAGCACGAAAATGATGGACGAAACATCTGAATTCTGAAATTTTTGAGGGTTTAGTTTCGGACGAAATCCTGAAAACCTTGGGGATTTTTGCGTTTTTCCGATCGGAAATTCTGGGGATTTTTGGGATTTCGTCCGGTCGTTGCTCGCGGACAAAACCATGGAATTCCATAGAATTTACGCGTTTCGTCCGATCGGATTTTCTTTTGAATTTGAAGGTTTCGTCCGTTTGCTGCTGCATTCTTCTTGAGATGAAACGTATTCATGCTTGAGGCTTTGATTATGTCGTTTCGAACGTAGCATCGATCTCGCGAGCTTGAAAGTCGCGAATTTTCATACGTTTGAAGCCAGGAAAGCTTCCAAATGGAGACCAAGCTTTTATATTGATATATGCCCCTGTTTTGGATGATGTGGGAGCGGCTCGAAACGATAGCGTTGAAGCAGCCGCTGCCGGCCCTGGATAGTTTTGCTCAGACAAGTTCCTCGGAGCGCTTTCCGCTTTCGTGGCTGAGATAGTACCTGGGACAGTGGGAACAGTGACTGTGACAATGGCAGTGACTGTGACAATGATTGTGACTGTGAGTGACAGTGACTGTGACAATGACTGTCACAGTGATTGTGCTTATGACTGTGACTCTGACAATGACTGTGACTCTGACAGTGGCAGTGGTTGTGACAGTGATTGTGGTTGTGACAGTGACAGTGCGAACAATGCCTAGGATAATGACTGTGATTGTGACAGTGACAATGACTGGGATAATGAGAGTGGCAATGATTGGGACAGTGACTGTCATCCTGACTGTGATAATGACTGTGACAGGCACTGTGAATGTGATTGTGATACTGACAATGACTGTGACAGTGACACCCTAAAATTTAGAGGCTTCGCCCTGATGCGCCAACGCAGAATTATGCCTTTAAGCAAGAGCCAAAGCGGCAGATCATTGCATTAGCAGAACGAGGTTAAAGTAAATTGATCGTTTGAATCAAATTATTGAAACCAGAAACCGTGCTGAACTCATCTGAATTCAGATGAATTCGGTTGAATTCATCTGAACTCAGCTGAAATCATCTGAATTCAGTTGATCTCATTTGAGTTCAGTTGAACTCAACTGAGTCCAGATTGAACTCAATTGAGTTCACTTGAACTCAACTGAGTTCAATTTAATTGAGTTCAACTTGAACTCAACTGAGTTTATTTAAATTCAGTTGAGTTCCGTTGCACTCAATTGAGATCAGTTGAACTCAGCTGAGTTCAGTTGAACTGAACTGAGTTCAGTTGAACTCAACTGAGGTCACTCAAACTCATTTCAGTTCGGTTGAACTCAACCGAGTTCAGTTGAATTTAATTGAGTTCAGTTGAATTCAACAGAGTTCAATTGAATTCATCTGAGTTAAGGTAAAATCAACTGAATTCAGTTGAAACCAATTGGGTCTCAATTGCGTTCAGTTGAATTCAACTTGAACTCAACTGAATTCAGTTGAATTCAATTGAATTCCGGCGATTTCAGTTGAGTTCAGTTGAACTCAACTGAACTCATCTGAGTTCAATTGAGTTCCGTTAAATTCAGTTGAACTCAGTTGATTTAATTGAGCTCAGCTGAGTTCAATTGAATTCAACTGAGTCCAATTGAGCGCAATTGAATTCAATTGAACTCAACTGAGTTGAACTCGTGAGGGTTAGGATTTACGGGCTGACGGTTTGGGGTTTTGGGGTTCAGGGTTGAGGGATTACAGGTTGAGGGTTTAGGGGTTTAGAATTTACGGGTTGAAGGTTTACGGGTTGAGGGCTTAGGGGCTTGGAGTTGAGGGTTTTCAGATTACGGGTTAGGTTCAGGGTTTAGCGTTGACGGGTGGAGGGCGTAGGGGTTTTGGGTTGAGGGTTTGGGGTTTGTGGTTCAAGGGTTTAAGGGTTTAGGATTGAGTGCTTGGGGTTCAGGGGTTTCGAATTCTGGGTTTAGAGATTAGGGGTTTAGAACAGGGGGTTTACGGGTTTCGGTGCTTGGGAGCTTAGGAGATAAGGATTTGGAATTGCGGGTTGGGCAATCTAGGAATGCGAATTTATTTTTTTTAGATTAAAGGATTTAGAGATTTGAGGTGTAGAGCTTCGGGGTTTAGGGGTTTACGGCGTGAGATTTGAAATTCGAAGGTTGAGGGGAATGAAGAATTCGGATTTCAGATTTTTGATTGAAAAAATGATTTAGGATCTGGAATTTCCAATGTTAGAATTTGGGATCTATTTATTTGGGTTTCTGAAATTCTCTTACAAAAAGATTTTTTTGTTTTTTTTCTAGCTGGGAAATTCAGATTTCTGGATCTCAAAAAAAAACGTATTATGAGATTCTCTATTTATCGAAGAGAAATATTCTTCATAGAAATTCATAAATATAGCATATATATAATTATATTTGATGATTTATTCATATTTTCTTGGATTTATTTTATCTATATGAATTGAATCATGATATTATTATCATTGAAAAATGATGATATGCTTTCTCTATATCGGATATTGGTCGATTCTAATTTTTGATAGAATGGAATTTTATGAAAAATATAAAATATCGATAGATAAACATATAG